ATATAAAGAATTTTCTCCTGATATAAAGAACCTATAACAATGGGTACATCGTAAGAACACAATATAACCTATATTCACATCGCGAAGAAACGAATATCTATTTAATATTTTGTTTTAGAAACTTACCCAGAATCTGGGACGAAATACACACAAATATTAATTAATTCAGGTCTTTCACTGGACCTGCACGACAACTTTTTAATAAAATTATAAGACACAGCACTTCTTCAGTCTGATCTTCTTTGTTGTAGAAATCGATTTCGAAAAAGGACGGTTTCTACAAAACTCCTACATTTATACCCCCTATCTTTCGATTCCACCACTGATCGAAGCACCAACCATAACCATATTTGGTAATATTTTGCACGATCCACTTCCTGATCCGAAGAAATCTCTAGATTGTTCCAGATTACGATCTGTGAGACCCCTACTGTCAGAAAGTGTTACTACAAAAGAATATTAGTGTGGAACCAGTGCCATCTATGTCACAGAGATAGTACTACTAACACTTGGTCGATATGAAAGGCAAGATCCAAGGTTGTTGATTATATTGCTATCGTCTATGTTAATTCGCAAAAGCGATGACAGATGGCGGCATTTAATAATTTATCCATTTTCCCTTATTTTGGGTTAACATATTTTTTTTTTATGTTACACTACAAAGTTTGTCCCGTTATCGGACGTGATACTTCGAGGCTTGCCTCGACGCGCCACGAACCGATTTAAAGCGGCCATGTAAGCCTCGGTGGTGAGGTCGCTGACGAGCTCCAAATGAACGGCTTTCACTGCTGAGCAAACAAAGATGCACATATAAGATTTTGTTAGTTTGCAACCACGGCCTTTACGATTGGCCACCAATACTGGTCCCGCGTAATCAACGTAACTATACAAAAATGGAAACTCAAGCTGAGTTCTAGAATGGGGTAAGTGACCCATAATTGGCTGTATGCTTTGAGCCTTGTGTCTGCAACACCTGAGACATTGATTTACCACAAGTCTAGACAAGTTTCTGCCACCTTACGGCCAATAAGTCTGTCGAATGTTCGACAGTAATAATTGTGGACCAGCATGTGCAAGCTCTAAATGTTGCATGTGGAATATAAGCTTAGTTAGAACATGTTTACTGCATAATACTATTGGGTGCTTAATATTAAAATCATAGGGAGAATTATCAAGCCTTCCGCCCACGCGGATGAGGTTATTATCGTCTATAAAGGGAGACAAGGGCAACAACCTACTTTTGCGTGGCAATTTCTGACCAGATTTTAAAAAAATATACTCTTCATGAAACATTTCAAGCTGTGAAATATCCGGCTCGAAGGACCAAATTGTCGTAGCTCTGTCGGGTTATTTCAAATTAAAACAGAGGACTGCACAATTAATAGGTTTAATTTCTACATATCAGAATCAAGACTGGCTCACACCGATACAAAGAAATGCCCGAATGCTATGGCTGGCGTGTGTCGATGAAGAAGAAGCGCGGCGCTCGCGCGGCCGTGGGTTTTTATACCCCCGTCCCGCGCGTCGCCGCCTCTATGGTCGATGGCCATACTAATGCGCCGACAGAATCGAAATCGTTCACGTTTGATAATTTAACAAATCACAACAATCATCTTCTAATATATTGAAATTAGATATCTGGTTAGTAACATTAGATGTAATGAAGTCACTAGGCGTAAATTTCAAAGTTTAAAAGTAAGCTGTACAATATTTCGGTAGGGTTAACATGCCTGTACCGAAAAGGATTTTGTCATAACTACTAGGATCATTTTCACAGGTAACATGAACTTTCCCAGGTTCTGATTGTACAAATAACCAATTATTATTGTTTAACTTAAAGAATACATCGATTAAACCATATATTAACTTAGTGTTACATGAATTTGGTAGGGAGCTTATAGCTTCGGTTAATAACTTTGTTTCACAAGTTGGGTTCGCGATTGTAGAATACACATTCCCTAAAGAACACACATAACACTCATTTTGTATCACTTGACTCTTATCCACTGACTCTAATAGTGAATAGAACATACGATCTGTTGTTATAGCCACATAAGGTTTACTAGGTGCGACGAGTACATAAGTGTCAGGTTTTGTAATATCGTAAGGAGTTGGAAGTGGAACAGTGTGGTATAGATTATACATCTGAGGTAAGACCAGCGGAATTCGAGTGACAATAATGACCTTGTTAAGATGGTAATAAGAGACTAAGTTAGATATGTCTATAATTATATTACATGTATATTTTCTAAGGAAAAAGTTACAGAGAGCTGCTCGAAGTGTTTAGGTAGCTTGTGTTTATGTAGGTCAAGTTCGTGGAACAACTGATAGGGACTAAGTACGGTTGGATGAAGAATGTTGACTTTGCTGAATAGGATAGCATTGTTTATATCGTCGATGTCAAAGGACAAGGCAATCGTTATGCTTTCTAAGTCATTTAATAACATCGTTAATTGAGTTTTGATTTCTAATTTATCACTGGAATTTGAAAATTGTTCTAACGTCTTCCGGATAGTTTCCAAATTTTGATTTAGTTGATTTTGATTTTTGTTTACTTTTGACATTGTGTTATTGAAGTTTAAGATAGTAGATCGAACAACGTGGATGTTATTTCTCATTAAGTTTGCCAATTGCTTTTCATCAGATTGGACTTTAGTAATCGCATCTGAGAATTTTAGGGCATCTTCGGAGTCCAAAGTCCCAAAGATTGATTTAAGAATTGAACCGCCTGCGTCTATGAGTCCACGTTTTAAACGATTAGGTTTTTGATCTCCAACAAGGTATGATATCGATGAAAACTTGCGAACATTGTTAAGATGTTGGTTTTGTAAAGGCGCGTAAAGGTTTTTCCACCAATATATGGTTTTTAGTATCATACATGCGAGAAATACCAGGGTGGCCTGCCGAGGGAGAGTCATGATTTTTTTTCAGTATACGAAGAATTTCGACAGGGGTAGGGAATAGAATGGTGTTATAATAAATGTGGGCTGTAACACCTGTTTTATGAAATAGGAATCCTAGAATATTATATATTTTTGTAAAAGATATCTTTGTGAATGGGTCTTGGAAATCGGATATGGCAAACTCCTTTTCTTCTGAATAGCATGTAGAGGTAGTAATCATGTCGCGGTAGTCTATTAACATGTTAAAAATGTCTTTGTAAGTCATTTCGTCGTAATGATGAACGCGTAGGAAGAGATGTGTAAAGTTGGATAGTGTTTTTCTGGTGGGCAGTTGGTAACCGGGTATCCACCGGCAGAATTTACGGAATGCACGCTCCTGAACGATGGAAAATGGATGAAAACTGTCCACACAAAGATCTAATAAATCATTATTTATTTGTTTTTTTTTTGTTCATTATTTATCTTCTTATTTAGATAAGTATCCATAATTTTTTGGCGTTTTGCAAGAGACTCCACTTTATCCTGAACATGGGTACTGGTACTGGTGCTGGCGGTGCTAGTGCTAGGTACGCTACATGTCGAACTCGCACCCAAGTCACCCAATACATCCGCTTGTTGCACAGTCAGATTTGCTGGCGGTTGATTTGTTAACTGGAGTCTGGAGAAAACGGAAATATGTTTTCGTTTAAGGTGACTTTTTAAATTTGCGGTAGAAGATTTATATGCAAGTTTTTCCTTGCACACATTACAAATTGCTTTCCCGCTAGCAGCATCTTTTTCAAAATGGTGCCACAATTCGCTTCGGCCTGACATTATTCCTAGGTATGTCCTTTTATTTTACACTGTAATATAACTATTATCTTAATATCTAAATATACACTACACTACACTAATTTACTACTGGTCTTCAGAGTGGAAATGATCACAGGGCGGGACAGGGGTTTCAATAACGCCACGGATTTTAGCATACAAACGTATAATTATCGGCTCAAAGGTTCAGTTAACAGTTAACACTTGCCACACTACACTATGTAACAATGTTCCTTAATAAAAACTTGTCCAAAACATTGAAAACAAACAATAATAAAGATCTTTGGCGCGTGCGTCGCGACTCGCGATCGTGTGTCGGATCGTCGGACTGTTACCGGACTCATTCGTTCAGCTTCGGCGCTGCTCGGGTTCATTCGGTCGCACGGCCGGCGGAGACTGACGGGGCGCGCGGGGATACCCGAACGCTAGTCGCTAACCGAATGATATTTTTGAATGTCGCGCGCTACACTATTTATTTACAGTTACAGAGTACACACGAAATTAATGCAAAGCAAAGTTCACTATACGCACACGCTTCGATCAACAAGACGAATACGACTAGATAAAAAAACAAAAATAAATCACTACATTTCCTAGAAAAACGTTGCGATTTGAGTGACGTATTTTTATTCCATATTTAGTCGTTTGGAACCGAAAATTTCAGTTTATTATAAACCTTTATGCTTAAAGATAAAGTTTAATTAATTACTTTTACAAAAAATATTTATTTAAGTCCTTTTTTTAGAGGTACGAAGCTCGAAATTTAAAGTTTCGCTTGAAAATAAAAAGTAATTAGTATAGAAATGTTTATTTGAAAATGAAACTTAACCTCTAAGTAATAAAATTAAAAACTTTTTGTTTACAATTATTATGTGCTAATCTGTCGTAGTTCTTAGTAGTAGTCGTCCATGGTATTTTAGGTATCAGTATTGTCCGTCGCGTCGTCGACTCATCGGAAGTTGTCACCGTATTGAACTAGTCTATCCGACAGACGTGAACAGTCGATACGTTCATGGACCGTCGACCGGTCTATTGGACCAGTTCGTTCATTTAACGCCCACCACTAGTGCGTCATAGACCGAAAAATGGGAAAGGATAGCTAGTAGGATATCACGGTCGACCATGTTGAAGATATTTGAGAAATCCACCAAAACCAATACTGTGATCTCAGTGTCCTCCATTCCTGCCTTCACATCGCACATGACCTTGAGGAGTGCAGTTACAGTACTGTGCCCAGGCCTGAATCCAGACTGTAGAGGACTAATAAGACAGTTACGGTAAATGAAATTCGAGAGTTAATTATGGATACAGGCCTCAAGCACCTTCGACAAAAAGGGGAGGATGGATATAGGACGAAAATATGTGGGAAGACTAGGATAAGATATTTTTGGAATAGGACGGACATAGGCTTTGCGCCACAAGGATGGGAATATTTTAGAGTACAAGGACCGGTTTACCATATGAGTTATGATCGGGAGGAGGAGGTCCAGTATACATGTAATCATATCACGCGATATACCGCCACATTCCACAGCCCTGGATTTGATGGCAAGGATAATCTTCCGGATATCTTCCAATTGCACTGGTGTGAAGCAAAAAGGACTTATTGCACAGGAACGCATCATACCGGAGATAAAAGGGTTATTCTCTTGGTCTGGAGATCCAACTTAGGTACGATGGAAAAATGGAGATTGAGATCATTCAGACCAATCGAACCAGGAAGGTCCGGGTGTCGCGATTTACCAATACCCAGAATTCCAAGGAACTTCCAGATATCGGCAGAAGAAGAAGAGGAGATACTGAGAACTTTTGAACACAAGATACTTTTTTAGGGTCTGGTTTGACATCTTGATCGGAAATTATATTTTTTTTTTTTTTTTTACACACATAACATAATTATTTAAAAAATAAAAAGAAAACAAAAAAAGCTAAAAAATTAAAATGAAGTGAGATCTTGTCCATGGTCCACAGACTTATTATTTTACTGAAATGATAGAATATTTAATATCTAACATTATCTGTGGACCATAGACAAGGAAACACTGCCCATGCCATTGTTACATGCTCTGTGGTCATAATATTGTGCGTCATGTATGCGTGCGCAAAAACAGGATAATGCTCAGCAATTTCTGCGACTTAAACCTCAAGAGGTTAGCGTCGCAGCGCTGATTTTCAGCATCTCCTTGGGTGACGTAATGGCGTCCCGCCAGCTTCACTAATCGCCAGCGAACAAGAATGCAAAACAACAAAACAACGAAATGATGTGAGTGCAGACCATGATTCACTTAACTTGGTAAATGTAGTGACGTGAATTGTTGCTATTAAAGCAGTAGTGTACCGTGTGTGAGTGTGATATGAATTGTGTGTTTTGCATTTACAGCAAGTAGCCGGCATGACCTGTAAAATACAGATATACCTATATTGACCATAAATGATGGGGGAGGCTGCAGCTACGAACAACAACCTGTTGGATACCTGTGCATCACCATGTTGGATTATATGTCCAAGGTACTGTACCTCCTTTCGTAAGAACTTACATTTCGCTGGTTAGATTTTTAACTTATGTTCACGTAATTTTTCAAAAACAGATTCTAGGTTTTGACAATGAGGTCGAGGGTAGTAAAGTATTTACTGTGGCCTAACTGATCAAAGATATCGGAAATATTTGGGATTGGGTATGCATCCCCAATTGTGATCTCATTTAATTTACGGTAGTCGATAACAATACGCCATTTAGGTTTACCTGAGGCATCTTGTTTTCTGGGAACGACCCAAATTGGTGCTGATCATGGGGATATTGAAGGTCTGATTATGTCTTGATCCAGCATATCCTGAATTGACATCCCCTTTATAGCATTCAGGAAATCTATAGCTTTTTACTGCAATCGGAGTTTAGGAAGTAACGCGCAGCATGAGTTTATCACCCTCTAAATGGAACACATCTTGAAACTTAGAGCATGTATGACGTAAGCGGATTTCCTCTTCAGAATTAAGATGTTCACTTCTTATTATCTGTTGGACTCTAGAATTGCGGTCGGAGATATACGGATGTTGGTTTAGAGCAGGAGGTAGATATAGCAGTCGTGTTCAGAGAAACAGTGTTTTGATTCCCCTCTATTATTTGAAGATTGATGTAACTTGAACATTTTTAAGAATTACTTCCTTTTCTGACGTATTAAGAACTGGCATGGTTATTTGGTTATTGGAGTCGACAGTCGTAACTTTGTAACTAACTGTAGACCTTTTTTAATATCAGGGTTGGTTGGTTACACTGCATTTAATAAACATTTAACTTCTTGGGCGAACAACTTTTACATAAGGTGCCGTTATTAAATTGAAATAGTATAAGGCGTTTTCCTGAATAATTAATTTGTCATTGCCGTAACTAATGAGACCTTTATACCACTCGAGGAAATCAAGCCTCTAATCTAAAATGTCATCTCAAGCCTAAAATGTTATCGAATTCCAAATTGATTTTATCAACGATATGGAAATAGTAAGTGACCTTGATCGTGTTTTCTAATTCTACCTCTATAGAAAAGATGAACTTGCCTTTAGTTTGAGCGAATGTGTCAATGTCATTGATGCCTTTGAACTTTAGAATGTCTGTTTCGACTTTAGGTAGTTCGGATAGACATTCTTCTTAGATTAGGCATATGGAACTGCCAGAGTCAACCAAGAGTTGAATAGGTAGTTTAGTATGTGAGGTTTTAACTAAAATATATGGTAATGAAGAACTTGAATTAGGAAAAACATTATAAATGGTAGAATAACCATCGGAGCTTTGTTAAAAATGATCTAGTATAATTTCTTTAGATAACGTATCATTTGTTAGAGTATCCGCAGATTTGGAGGTGATAGAATCATTTGATTTTGTAGGATTACTAGTGGATTTAGCAAAGATAGTCTTTATTTTTGTAAAATTATTAATAGATTTAGTAGCGATAATCATAGTTTTTAATAGAATTAGTAGTAGATTTAGCAAAGATAAGAGTCCTTATTTTTTGTACAATTAGTGTGATTTAGTAGCGATAGAGTCACAGTTTTTCATGGAATTAGTAGTAAATTTAGCAAAGATAGAGTCTTTATTTTTTGTAGAATTAGTAATGAAAGAGCCATTGTCATTAATAGAATTAGTATTAGTGCCTACGACGGCAGGATTACGCCGGCACTGGTTCGTAACCTGGCCATTTAGTTTAAATCGTAATCATTATTTTCATCGGTCTCCGTTGAAACTTGAGCGCATTCTACATACTTTTGTTCGAGCGTCGTATTCTGGAAATTTCCGCGGTCCAAACGTGAATTATTATATTGTCTTTTACGACATTGTGAAATATCGTGTCCTATATTTTTGCAGTAACGGCATATAATTGGGAAGTTGAATATTGGTTAGTATTATTAGCACGGGGTTTATTCGTGTTATAAAATTGTTGTAATTTGGGGGAAACGTAGACTTATTTTTTAAACGACATTCAGACTCGGAATGACCCGCTTTATTGCAAACTTTACAGAAGGATTTGACTGAGTAGTTGTAAATTTTCTCCTCTTCAGTAGCAATACTAATAGCTGCGTTTAGATTTCGAGGGTCACGGCATCGGACAATATTATTTAGTCTTGGATGAAGTCCGAGACAAAATGTGTATAATGCCAGGATCTTCTGTCATTGCAATACGGCCTGGGAGTTCCTTTTCCAACGAATCTGAATTATGAATTTCGGACTGCAGATCTGTCAAGCAAATCTCAATTCTTAGGGCATACTGTGCTACGGTTTTATTAGGCAATTGCTTACAGGGTTGTAGTTTTAAGAGTAGATGATTACAATGCTGTTCGCCGAAATTCTGCCTTAAAAATGATCGCAGGTCCTCGAAACTTTCGTATATTTTATTGGAACAAGCTACCTGTGCTTTTTCCCTGTAGTTTTGAAATCATAAACTCTCTTAAAGGAGGGACTTTTGACTCTCGGCTGCTAAATCAAGAGCATTTTGGTAATTAGTCAGAAATGCAAATAAGGTTTCTCGTTCTCATTTGTATAGGTTTATGAAATTACATAGTACCTGAATTGGGAAAGGTTCGGAAATAGTTGGTGCTAATTGTCGTTTATCACCTGAGTTGGCCATTTTTGCTAGGTGCGGGAAATACACAGAGTATAAGTAGGACAGATATGTGAAACTTATGTGGCAATAGCAACAAAAATAGGTATATTCTACTCACAGCAACGCGACGGCATCAGCTTGGAGGACGAAACACATCTTCATAGGTTTCGGTGAAAAGCTTGCCCAATAGCAGACTAGATGTAGATGATCAGCAGCACCACACACCTCGCGTGAAAGAGATCTTCGGTTGCAGTCACCCGATGTAAACAAGACTGCTCTGGAGATTCGTTGACTTTTGCCACGTATCGTCCACGACGGCACAGCCAGTCACAGAATAACGAACGGCACAGAGTTTGTGGAGCATGCGGATTGGGCCGATAGAGTCACAGAACACGCATGTGGCGGACCGGGATTTTGTTTTGTTGATAGCCAGCAAAGATATGCACGTTCGAATCCCACTTCTGACACACTATTATCGGGTAAAGTCTTACTCACTTAAAAAGAAACACTTTTTAGAATGTCTAGAAATATAATAAGAAAATTGTAAAATTACAAAGCCCTTGGTGTGTCCGCCACGAGGTCCAAAGTAAGTACCTATGTCATTCTAATAAATGAAACAAAACGGGTAATGGTAGGTAAACGTGACGCAACAACGTAAGCAACGGGGATGCGGTGTCAGCGATTTTATTTCATATGTCGGGGCTATAATAACTTATAACAGTACATACATGCAGACAAACAAATAAAAATTCTAAAGTTCATATCTTGGCTTCAGTATGGACTGTAGATCACGTGCAAGTATTCTTTAAAAAAAAACTCGTTGTTTCCTACGCAGACGTATGGGCAACCACTTTAACTGGCACCGATATGCAGAGACATGTCGTATTTACGCAGGTTAAAAACGAATCGAATGCAGTTATTTAGAAGGCGGTTAGTTTATTGAGGACATCTGCATTCAGATCGTAGTAACAGGCATCAGCATAATCGTTTATGGCGAAAACCAAGGACTGAACAAGCATCGCTTTGGTCGACGTCGGAAGGAAGTATTTCAACTGATACAGGGCCCGCAACGTCCCCGTGACTCGATGGCAGACACTAGTAAAGGAAGCCATACACGCTAGGTTTTACATGATGGTTTTAGCCGTGCATGCATAACCGACAGGCAAGCCCTAGCGTGTATGTGACTAAACTGTACAGTTATCGGTGCATGTACATGCAAAACCTAACGTGTATGTAAGGTATGAAACTCGGTTATGCTTGTCGATTTTGTATGCAAAGTTATAACCGTCATCCATAACCTAGCGTGTATGGCCTCCTTAACATGAGCACGCCAGGTTAAGTTGCCGTCAATGTATCAACGATCAATGTCAACAATCACGCGCACGCTTCAAGCGGACGGTAAGTTCCGAGTCCGACTGATGTCAGCGGGCAGCGCATGAGTCAAGTCAAATACAATGCGCGCTACTTTGAGCTATTTAAGCGATTGTATTTTTCTTCATTATTTTTACTGTCTATATAGGGTATCGGTCCAGTGTGCAGCCTTCGACTTTTCTTAGTATGAGTTCCTCGAAACGTAGCACGAACCATTTTGTGATCTGAATTGAAGTTAAAATTATGTAAAGTTTCTAGATTTATAAAAAGTTTAGGTTTATTAGTCATAACATAGTCGATTTCGTTTTTGAAGAGTCCATTTGGGGAAGTCCACGTCCATTTCTTGTTCTTTTTCTTTTTATAGAAGCTGTTCAGAATACTAAGTTTATTTTCGATTCCAAAGTTAACCAATCTCCTTCCGTTTTTACTTCTAATACCACTACCGTATCTCTTCACCACTTTGACATATTCCAATTTGTCCGTTGAAGTCACCCATTACTATTATATTTTTGTGAGCAGTATCAACTGTATTTTGTAATTTTTGATAAAATTCTTCAATTCTTTCATTACCTTGTTTGTTATCCGCTTCAGTTGGCGAGTAGGCTTGGATAATTGACCATAATTCATCTCTGTTATTTTTTACGGGAAGTTTGATATTAAGTATTTCTATTCTATCAGTTATTCCTTTAATTTCTTCTATTCGGTTAGTATGTTTCTTTTTTATCAAAAAGCCAACACCATATTGTCCTGGTGTTTCTCCTTTATAATGTAGTATATAATTTCCGTGGTCTTCTATTTCTTCTCCTAGTCTTCGTACTTCACTTATTCCTACAAGTGCCAAACTTGGGCCTTAACTAAACACCAGCAGAATAAATTAAAGATATGCCAAAATGGAATCGAGAGAAGTGTACTGGGGGTAAGAAGAAAGGATAAGATACAACTTAAAGAAATCAAAGAAAATACCATGTTCGGAAATGTCCTATCAGTATATAGTACGCTGAAATGGCGCTGGACAGGACATATGCTGAGAGAGGAGAGAGAGAAATGGACCAGAATAATTACGGAATGGTACCCTAGAGACCGCAGGAGAAGTAGAGGAAGACAGTATAAACGATGGGAAGACGACTTGAAACGAGTAGCAGGGCCAGAATGGTTACGTGTAGCAAAGGACAGAAACAAGTGGAAATCCATAGAGGAGGCCTTTGTCGAAAGACAAGCTGTTGTAAGAGGAGAGAAACCAATTGCTGAGATAATGTTAGAGTAGTTTTTAAGTTTGTTTATTTAACTCTGTTGCAACTTGGGTTACAACTGTAATTCTTGTTATTGTAACTACAGCAATAAAGGCTTATTTTATTTTATTTTATTATTTTTCTTCAATATCAAATCATTTTTGGCCAGCTTTTCTGTTAAAATATCTGTACAGCGGGATATTAGCTTTACGCCACAATCCTACTGCACAGGATTACCTAATCCTAATGACTACTAGCTAACGTTATCCTATACTATCCTAGCTAATCTAACGCTTATAATATCCTATCCTATAATTGCCTAGCGTACAATGCGTATAGGCGTGGTGCTCTGGGGTATACTGGGATACAGACCAGCACTGCTACGCAGAAACTCCATTTGAATTCCAATCAAATAGTTAAAAATGTAGTTTTAATCACTAAAACCTCACGGAAATGGATACTATAGAGGTAAAATCCCTGTGTTTGGGGTATAACGTGGACTTAGCATTTTAAGATAGGATTGCAATTTTGTAGATTGAAAAAAAAAAAGATAGTTTGTTTTATCCCGTTGTTTTATTAACACTCTTCACCATAGATAATTGCCATAGACAAAAGAATAAAAACAATGTTCGTAGTGGACTGTATTATACTGATATTTTCGTTAGTATGATTGATTTGAGCTACTGACACCGCCCCCCAATTTGTGTTTGGGTTGTGTTTCCTACTACCTATCTCAAATGGGTTTCAGTACTACGGACACCAGCCTCCCACAACTCTCCGAAGTTTGGTCAATGTGGTGGTATTAAATGCCACGTTGTTCTCTCCAATGTAAGTAACTCAGCTATTTGTTTAGTTACGTTACAGTAACTTTTTTTTTTTTTAAGGGGGGATATCCTCATGGTTTGCCTCCGCCTGGGGAAAGGCGGAGGGGTGTGCCGGACTCTTACCGGCTAAAACCACCCCAGTGTCTCCTCGCACGTGCGTGCGGGGCCGCGGGAGTCCAAATTCATCCGCAGCCCCGCATTACAGTGCCGGCCCGTAAATCAGGGCCCCGTCACCTGCACGGAGCAGTGCACCACGTGCATCGCCTCAAAGGCGCACGCCGACACCCGCGCGCGCCTTCGACTCGGGTCTATCGATTCGGGGGCGGGGACTTCCCCAAGTCCTTCGCCCCTGGACCCATTCATGGGGGCCGGAAGAGGGCGTTGTCGGCCCTTCTCCTACGCCCGGTGCGCCTTCTGCGGTTGGGAAAGGAAGTCAGTAAGATCTCCCTCTCCCGTTCCGCAGTTTCCTTCTGCGACATCACATCCTCGCAGAAAGACACCACCGCGTCCCACGACTCTGCGCTGTCCACCATCTTCCGCACTACGGCCGGCAGCGACAGATCGCTTCCTACTTCATTTCTGAGGACACGGCGCTGCTCCTCCCAAGCTACACACTCGGCGAGCGTGTGTTGCGCCGTGTCCTCCCCGCAATGGACGCAGTGGTGGCACCGGGCGTCCGGCTCCCTCTCTATGCGGCACAGGTACTTGCCGAAGCAGCCGTGCCCCGACAGCACCTGCGTCACCCTAAACGACAGGGAGCCGTGCTTCCTCCCGAGCCAGTCGTCGAGTACTGGCCGGATCGCCTCGACGGTAGTAAAGCAAAAGCCTTTGCCGCCATTCCGCCACTAAGACCTGACGGAGCTCCTCTCGGCGCCGCTCGATTTGGCGCTGCACCGGCCTCGAGCCCCGTGTCCGTTCTTCCTCGCGCCATCGGTATAGTGACGCGAGTACTTTCGCCTCTAGGTCCCAGGGCGGGGATCCGGCCAGGACGCAAGCCGCCTCGTAGGAAATCGTGCGATACCCGCGGAACGTTACAGTAACTAACATAAGTAAAAGCTTTACTTACGTAAAGCTTCATTTAATTCAGTTGTAGTTAGTTATAAATGTAGGTAAACTCTGTCTAACTTGAAGATTAGATGAAACTGAAATGTATCTATCACGTCTGCTGCACTATCTTGTATTGAAACTGTTGATCTTGCTAGGAACTGAGGTCCTCTCCACCACAGCATATGTGTACGGGCTCGGAGGGATCAGGCTGTGGATCAGTCCTCGACGAGCTAGGTGGTTTGTGGAGAGCAAATGGACTGTATAATGAAATGGAGAAACTCTTGTACACTGATATACTTTAATTATGATAATGTTAACAACACTAGTGGAGATGGAATTGACAATATTACGATCGACTTTAACTACACACACTGTTCTGACGCTCTGATGAATTGACAATCATTGACACACTGATTGTGCCTCGCAAGGAGGCGTCCTTTTATAGGCGAGCCGCGCGCGGACAGGATTAATCCTGTCGCTATGGGCTCGCGACTCGGCCGCTCTGCGACGGAATCATGTCCGTACATGCTCAAAGGCAAGTTCCAACCAAGCAGCGGCGGCGCGGACCAAAGGATCGCCGCCGCACGCCTTTGATATTCGTGTCTGACCTTGCCTTTTTGTCATGTTCGGAACACGTCGCGGGCGGTTCGCGGCCTAGCATTGCCGTCGTGCACAATATGGTTGGTTAGGTATCTTGAATGTAAACCTCGTGATGCACAATCCGCTGGGTTCTCCTCCATAGAAACATGATTCCACCGCTCATATTCTAAAATATTAAAAATTGTTGATACTCGATTACTAACAAAAGAAGTCCATTTACTTGATCCTCCTTTGAGCCATGCTAAAACAATAGTAGAATCCGTCCAGGCATATAAATATGTTGTGGGTATCTTCATTACCTGGGTACACCTCAAATATTAATTTAGCAGCAAAAGTCGCTCAACACAACTCTAGTCTAGGAATTGAAATTTCTTTACCTATAGGTGCTACATTTGTCTTTGCAGTTAATATACATGCACAATCTCAAATTCATCAATAACTCTTATGTATACTGCTGCAGCATATGCTGATTTTGAAGCTTAGAAAAAACATAGTTCATTGTTCGAAACTTTCGTGATATTTAACCATCTAGGAATGGTAAGTTCCTTTAAATCCATAAGACCAGCCCTGTATGTTAACCACTCGTATAGATACTCTTCTGATACATAGTAGAGATGGGCTGAGTGATGAATTTTCTGTATCAATGACTGCGTGACAATGACAAAAAAATATCGATGACGGGAACAATGACAAAATCATCAATGATTTTTGTTTGAGCACAAAATCACGCCACGGCACTTCAATCATGAGTAATGAGGAGATGCTGAAATGATAGCGGAACGGTGTAAAGGCTTAGTGACTTTATCATTTGTTATTTAGTAGTAGGCATGGGACGACTTTGTGAGTTAGCCCGCGAAATTATTTTTTCTTATTTTGCGACATTCATGTTAGTGTATAATACGTATGGATTTATAATCATAGAAATCATCAATTTGTTTTCATTAGTGATATTTGCTACAATATAATTAAGATTATTAAGTACCTATTTCATGGCAATCTGGCGTTCTTACGAGTAAATGCTTGACGTAAAAACTTGGTTGCGTAAATACCTACGCACCTTTCCTACAAGTAATATTCCAATCTTACCTTCATGCTTTTTCCAGGTTTAGGACTGGCAAAGACTAGAAAAATAATACTGGTACCTAATAAAAATATAATATCATTTTGCTTTTCTTTGGCGCATTTAAAAGATTGGTATATTTACAATGATTAAATTGAGGTACTTACTTCTTGGTACCTATTTGTAATATTTTTTATTTTTGTTTTTTGTATTTTTTTTTATTTTTTTTATGTGTATATCTACAAATATTTACATTTTCTTGACTGTTGTGCCGATTCATTGGCTACAATTGACGTTTAAAAACATAAGCTGTTTTACTTTTGAAATTCTTAGGCGAATGCGTCTTTCGGATACCATGGTAACAGCTCGTGAAAATACCCTTTCACAAGGCACTGATGTTGCCAGCACACAGCACTTAGTCAAAACGAATTTCGCCAAATTTGGGTAAACATGTTCGTGGTTTTTCCACCACTGAAGTGGAGTGTCGTGTTCTGATCCCATTAGAAGGATGTCATCATCTAGAAAAAAAAAACTAAGTTTAAAAAAAACTATTTAATAACCTAAAAGAGATATATTCAATAGATACGTATTACAGGTTACTAAGCCCGACGGAAGTCCAATCCAATGTACTTCAGAAACAATTATTATAGCTTACGAAAACTGCAACGGTTTCCTATTGCATTGACGTCAATGCGATTGGAAACTCAGCAGTTTTAATTTATATTTTAAGTAATAGTTATTCCGATATAACAGTACCTTTGAACTTCCGCTATCGCTCTTGATAACGGCTTTTATGCTCTATTTTCGCAATTGCTGTCCTATATAAATTTCATATGGATGGTTCAGTATTACTTCCCGAGTTTTGTGTCGTAGCTAGGGTTGGAGTAGTTAATTGTTTACTTATTGCAATTGACGCAGCTACCAATTCGATGACAACTTTTTTCGTTTCTTCAGCCAGATGTTGTTGAAACATGAAAATTTTAAAACTCGGATCTAAAAAAGTTGATAGTGCAAGTGTTCTGCTAAATTGCGAAACCTTTCCGAAGTTTCCTTTTTAGCTTTTTTAAAACCAATTTCACAACATCATGCAACTCTCTCAACTCTAGAGTTTCCAATGTTTGCATTGAATTTCAACCGTAGGATGTTTTCTTAAAATATGTTTTTTTAAATTGGTTGAGGAAGTTTTATAGGATAATTTTACCCTGCACAATTTACACACTGCTGTTTTTTCACCAACGGATTCTATGTCAAAATGTACCCAGACGTTGGATGTTTTTCTTAAAGTTGATGCCATTTTTTATTAATAGGTATTTTGGTAAACTGTAACCACTCGTTAAATAAGAACGTTAAGTACCTACCATACGTTTTTAATATTTTAGGTACCAAACTGCAAATACTAATTTGGTTTTAAAATCTGTAATACACTTCAATATTTACTATACGGCATAAGTCAATTAACAAATTACACTATGTACTTCGTAAGTTCGTAAGCGTAAAATAAAATTAGGTAAGGATGGTCGTCCTTGAATAATAAAAATTCAATAAAAAACAATGATTTACAAAAACTAACTTTTCGAGTCAAGTTCGCGCGCAAACGTAAACAACGAATTTGTAGCGGTATATATGGTCGTGCGCTGTTTGTTGACGTCTCGCATAATATTTCGTGATTTGAGTGGATCGATTTTATGCGTTCAAATCTTAACTTTTTGTTACGTATGACTTCTTTGATTTCGGTGTCAACTTGTTGTTGTCTTGCCAGCTCGTCATAGTCGATCGGTGACGGTGAAGTAATTGTGTCGATTCTTGATAGGGCGTCGGCAACGACGTTGTCTTTTCCCTCGATGTGTAGAATCTTTGACGTGAACTGGCTGATGTAATGTAGATATCTAGTTCGCATAGGAGTCTCTGTTTTGCTGTTATTTCTCAGGAGTGCAAATGTGAGAGGTTTGTGGTCAGTGAACACGGTGATTTCCTTGCCCTCGAACATTCTTCGGAAGTGACGTATAGCTAGGTAAATAGCTATTAGTTCTCGATCGTATGTGCTATATTTCTTTTGAGCGTCGTTCAGCTTTTTCGAAAAAAATCCAAGTGGTTGCCATCTTCCTTGTATGTACTGCTGTAAGGCTGCGCCGACACAGGTGTTGGATGCATCACACATGAGTGAGATCGTTATATATAGCATAGCATAACGGCGTTTTTTATGCTATTCTTGCATGCTTCGAATGCCTGTTTTTCTTCAGCTGTCAGATGTATTTGAGTTTTGTCGTTCTTTTTCGAGGTGCTTAGGTATTTGAATAATTTTTCTTGAGTGTGTGCTGCGTGCGGTATACTTTCCTTATAAAAGTTAATGATACCTAGGAAGCGCCGTAGTTCTTGTATTGTTTTCGGTTGTGGGTAATTTTGTATACTTTTGACGCGCTCTTCAATTGGTTGAATACCGTCGGCCGATACGTCATAACCAAGGAACTCAAGTTTTTGCTTTCCGAAAACGTATTTGGAAACGTTTATTCTCAGTCCGTGTTTTTGTAATCTCTTGAACACTTCCTCTAGGTATTGATTATGACTAGCTTGGTCGGGGGCCGCAAGAATATCATCAACAATTGGGTATACGTAATCCAAATCGCCCAGTATATTGTTCATGTGACGTTGGAATGTCTGCCCCGCGTTGCGTAATCCAAAGCACATTCGAGGAAATTCGAATAATCCGAATGGCGTTATCACTGCGGTCTTTTCTATATCACTTTGACGAATTCGTAATTGATTGTATGCTTTTCGAAGGTCTATTTTGCTGAATATCTTCATTCCTTGCAGTCTATAGGTGAAATCACGTAGACGGGGAATCGGGTATCGATCGGGCTTCGTCACGGCGTTCAATTTTCTATAATCACCGCATGGTCTGAGCTCACCATTTTTCTTTTGTACTAGGTGGAGTGGACTTGCCCATGGGGATTTACTTGGTTGACATATCCCTTGCTCCAGCACTAGCTGGAAAGTCTCTCTGGCAGCGTGGTATCTGTGTGGCGGTAGTAGACGTGCTTTGCAGTACACGGGCGGTCCGTGCGTGACGATGTAGTGTTCCACGTCGCTGTTGGTCGCGTTACTGAAGTGTGGGGACGTGATGTCGTTATACTTCTTCAGCAGGTCGCAGTATGGGTCGTTCACGTTGACTGTGAGTACCGTCGGCGTCGATGTACTGTTTGTTAAACAACCGTTGATTGCTAAGCCAGGAGGTCTACTCTGATTCGACGAAAAACGAAGTTTCGGACGAAACTTCAAAGATTATCTACCACAATGACATAAAAACGAACGAAAAATGAATGAAACAAGCCAGAAATTAGTATGAGATGTACTGTTCGACGTCGAAATTTTCGGAACCCTACTCTTATTGTACAATCCGCACGAACGAAAATTCGAGTTTGACAGATTATTCTTCGGACGTTTAATGTCATTTCGACGAAACCAAAATAGTTATCGTTTGATTTTCGTTTGGGTTAAATTTTATGAAAAAATCAATGAAAGTAATTGCAAGTCTTAGTTTTATCACGGTTTCTTCGTGTGGGCAACACGTAGGTCACCAAAGAAACCACTTCAATGACGATATAAAATCAATGTACAGTCAGCTCAAATAGTTTGTTAACACGAACCTATATATTTTATATGTCTATGAGAGTTAGTAACATTTAGGGTAATCAAATACTTATTTGAATACCTTATGTATTGTACATAAATGTTTCATGTGTAATGTTTTATTTTAAAACTAATAATACCGCTTGAAAAATTAACTTAAGTATTGCTAATATATATTTTCGCTATTCTTTCACATCTATTAATATACCAA